ATACAAAATCTTTTTTTTTAGTTAATTATTATATCTTAAAAATGTAGAAAAGTTCTGTAACAATATTTTCCCTGATATTTTTGAGTCAACTAATATAAAAACCATTTTTAATTTGACAACACTGAACTATCTTTTAATTTTGACATGGCATGCACATAGCTAACTTTTAGATTTTGCAGCACTAAATCGGTATTTATATTTTACCATACTGAACAGACTTCAGTTGGTCATTTTCACAAAAATATAAAGAAAGTCGCGGCTCGTCAACCCTCTTGACCAGTGGTACAGTTGTATCATTTTTTAACATATCAGGGGCGTCCGTTGCCGAGAGGTTAAGGTCTTTAAACCACTTGCCCTCACCTCTGTGGGTTCGAATCCCGACAGGGACTTTGAATTCTGTCATGTGAGGAGGCTATCCAACGTCGATGGTTCTACTCAGGTGCCTGAAATAATGCACGGAAGGGCATCTGAAGTCTTCCTCCACCATTTAAGCTAGAACGTCGCCATATGACCTATACTGTGTCGGTGTGACGTAAAACCCAATAAAACAACCAAACAAAAAAATGAACATATCATTATTATATGAACAACTTTGCGAATTATCCAGCAATTTATTTGACATTGTTTGGTAACCGATGCCAGATTAAGATAACGCATAAACATAACATTATATCTACATTGTAAAGAGAAGTGAACACCTAGATGCATATCATACACTAGTATACAACTTACATAACCATCGCACGGGTATGAAGTGAACTGACAGTTGTTAGAGTTGATAGACTCTGTAAAAACTTCATGTGCTCGACTGTGACTACATGATACCACAGTGGCCAAAGCTAAAAAGTGAAAAGAGTAAATTAATAAGCCAGGAAACGTGCAACAACTTTTAAAATACAAAGTGAACTATAAAACTTGCGATTTTCTTGTATAAAACTGAACTTAATTTAAGCGGATTAATTTTTCGCGGTATTTACTGCACGAATTTATATAGCGAAAATTAGATACTTACGAATAAAAGCTGATATATGGTATTTCAGATAATAGAAGAATGATAAAAGAATATAAGGTCAAAGAAAATACATGTTTGACCAGTCTAAAAGGTAAATGTTATAATCTTATTGCATTTCAGGGCTTCTTTTGCGTTATGAAGAAGTATATGAGCCGCGTCACGACAAAACCAACAAGTGCGTTTGCGACCAGCATGGATCCAGACCAGCCTGCACGTCCGCGCAGTCTGATCAGGATCCATGCTGTTCGCTATCAGTTTCACAACTTGCTATAGGGTTTGTAAGCGAACAGCATGGATCCTGATCAGACTGCGCGGATGCGCAGGCTGGTCTGGATCCATGCTGGTCGCAAACCCATTATGTTGGTTTTGTCGTGACGCGGCTCATATGAACTTATTATCAACCTTTCCTTCAAATAAATCATTACCAAATTAAATTTTAGAAACTTTCAATGATTAAAGTAAACAATACAGGCAAAATCTGAATTTAATAAACCAACCTTGTCAACTTTTATAGCTCCTTAAAAGGTACTTTCGTAAGATATAAATTTAACGATTATTTACAAAAAAATCGTTATCGTTGAAATTTAACAAAAGAAAATGTACTAGAAAGATAAGAAGGTTTAAAATAAATATTTAACACTATGTTACTAATTTTTTCATGTTAACTTTCTAAATACTGGATTAATAAAACAAACAGACTTATTCATAGCAGTATCCTTATGCTGGACAAGAAGTTTATTGTGACTGTAACGTCCTTTGTGGTCAATAAGTAATACTAGTAATACAAATGAGCCGCGCCATGACAAAACCAACATAATGCCTTTGCGACCAGCATGGATCCAGACCAGCCTGCGCATCCGCGCAGTCTGATCAGGATCCATGCTGTTCGCTTACAGACCCTATAACAAGTAAAGAAACTGATAGCGAACAGCATGGATCCTGATCAGACTGCACGGATGCACAGGCTGGTCTGGATCCATGCTTGTCGAAAACACATTATGTTGGTTTTGTCATGGCGCGGCTCAAATGTACTTTTTTTTTAATTTTTAGATAGTATAATATGCGAAACAAATATTTGATATTTTTTTGTAATTTCAACTTGTGATGTCACTGGTTATAAAGACTTTGGATTTGTTATATGGTCAAGTATAATTTTTTTTTACTTATATAACAGATATAAATAGCAAACAACCATTCATACCCAGCCATATAACTCTGTCAACAATATATCATGAATTTACAAACCACATTTGATAAGAACAAATGTATAGGAAAAAGTAGTGAGGAGTTCATTCAAATAAAATATTTAATCAAAGATAATAGCACCTTAAACAAATCTTTGGAAACAAAAAGACATCTAGTTTCTGTTTCTTTTTTTTTCATATTACAGATAATACACTTTACAACAATTAAACTGACTTTTAGGTTTTCAAGATATGGTTGGTGTTCATACCGTCCACTTTTCCTGAAAGAAGATCTCCAAGATGACTGAGAGCTCCAGAGATTTGGTCCGGACAATCTGGTTGATTTTCTCCTCCATTGACGTAGAAATCCACGTCTCCACACGGCTCAAACATTCCTGCACCTCCTATTTATACATAATTATATTCTTTTTATAAACATTTAAAGCACTAACTGCGCTGCATTGTTTTTATTTAAGCCATTTTTTTCCTTAAATCTTTTTAAATGTGGATGTATGTATGTAAAACAATCACCCCCATAATTTATATACATGTAAAAGACTTTCATAGTCTTTAAGATCCATACATTTTTTTTTATATTTTTTTTTTTGGGGGGGGGGGGGATTTTTTTGAATTTATGAAAATACGTCATTGTCAAATCAACGCTCTCATCGAAAATGCTTCACTGGAAATGGCCAAACTTTATAACTTGATACAAATATGATTTAAAAAAATCGAAATTTATGAAATATACTAGTGATGGTGTATGAACCTCGCCAATCTAACAACGTATGTTGAATTTTGCAACCAAAATTACAAAAAAAAAATAGTCTTATATACTTTAATAACAAAATATTCTCGCTTATAAAAATACAGATTACATCGTTTCAGAGTAAAAAAACACTAAGATTGAGAATGAATATTCAGTGTCAATACACAATAGACAGGTTCATATTAACCTTTTGAGAAGGGAGCTCCATTTGTATGTATAACGTCCACGTAGATTGCGTCCAGCTTGTCCAGTCTCACAACTTTAGGATGATCCTTATAGTCCGGTTCGGCTGGGTCCAATCCTATCAATATGTTTTATATATGAGCCGCGTCATGACAAAACCAACATAATGGGTTTGCGACCAGCATGGATCCAGACCAGCCTGCGCATAGGCACAGTCCGATCAGGATTCATGCTGTTCGCTTACGAACCATATAACAAGACAAGAAACTGATAGCGAGCAGCATGGATCCTGATCAGACTGCGCGGATGCGCAGGCTGGTCTGATCCATGCTGGTCGCAAACCCATTATGTTGGTTTTGTCATGACGCGGCTCATATGTTTTATGATATGCTATTAAAACAATCTAAGAAATAGATTAATTTTAAAAGTCTGAAAAGACTGTATTGTTGTAGTGACCATATAAATATGTTTAATTTCTGCAAGTTGTTGCTGTTCTTTGTTTGTTATCAAAATTTCGATAAATGAACAATTATCTCTTGCTTCATCTGCAAGTCAGTTTTTTTACAAAAAAGGCGAAATATTTTTTTAAAGATATACCAAGCAAACAAACTTTTTAAAGTTTTATATGGGCTATATACTATAATAAGATATATCTTAATATACATATATAGACCGGTTATGTAAAAATTTTGATTATGTGACTAGCGCCTATGTACTAAGCTCATTTGTTTATAAACTCTAATGGCAGATTGATTGAAAGGTGAGTATGCCAAATTTAGATAAGAAAATGGTAAGCTTTGTTTGGGATGCTTCATTCCTTTTTACTGGTCAAGCTAATTTGGTCATTTCTTACAAAAACTGCCAGTTTTTTAATGACAGTATGTATTCATACTATGTTAACCTTCACTGTAAATTTACTTAATTTCGTGGGCATGAAATTTGTTGGTTTTGTCAAAAGAACATTTAGTGGGTTCTTAAATTTATGAACTGTTTATTTTTTCAAAAGGTAAAATGTAAATTATGCGGTGTAAAAAAATTACAGCAGACGAAATGAAATTTCGTTGGATCTTAAATTCGTGGATTTACCTATCCACGAAAGACGCGAAAATTAGTGCCCCACGAATAATAATGATTTTGCAGTATATGTATATTGTGTTTAGTTTAAAAGGTAAAATATCTTCGTTCTCTTAGTGTACTCAAAAGATATTTATTTAACATTTGAAAATAGGCTGTTAAGCAATTATAAGTATTATCAAATTTGAGCATAATATATCTTTAAACACTGATATCAAATCAACATAATGCACCTATTCCCATGGCATTACCATTGCCTGATACTCGGGATCTTCATCACTACACCAAAGATGGAATTTAAACTCATGGATGTAAAGAAAATACAATCAAAATCATCAGCATTGGCAACGGATGTTCTCGCCTCGTTTCATCGGACAAGTAAGAAGAGGTAACCTTTACTTATTACAGTATTTACATTTTCTAAAAGGTTACTTTTTAAGAGGAAACATTGTCAGATAAATCGAGACAATACAGTCTACTATAACCCTGTTCTTAAGATACTACCGTCAGTCAGAGCGAAAGAAAAATCGGAGCATCTCGACAATTGTTCATGATTTATATATTTTTATCCGAAGATTAACGGAAAGGGCCGAACATTACGATTGTGCGAAGTCAAATACATAAAGATTGATCAAAACATTACGCATGTACCAGTAATTCGTCCTAAATGAAGGTTTTCTTTTCTCAGCAGCTGTCCAACGTGACCGGATGTGTGTGCTCCCAGGCTGTGACCAATCAGATGTAAGCTTTGATAAGTTATTCCCATGGAAACCATATTCATGATCATTTGTTTCACTTGCTCTGCCACAACTCTGGTATTAGCTACAGCAGCGAGATAGTCTGGAAATTTAGCCCCTGGTCCCCATACCACAATCATTACATTACAGTCTTCCTGCATGATAAAGTATAATAAAGATACGACAATACGAGCTAGATTGACTAACAAACCTATAGCAGAGTGCTTGATCATTACAAAAACAACATGTATTACACGAAAATTCCACAACCCTTACGTGTTCATTGATATCAAAGTTGTTGTGAAATATCATAACTGCGTTTCAAAGTAAAATAGAGCAAAAAAAAAATAACCGTCTAAATGCTTTTCAGGGGGTAACATTTCGCATATTGCGAAAATGAATAAAACGACTTGTAAAGATGATGAGAGAGTTATTGTTATGGAGTTATACATGTGTCATGTACATGTAGTCCATATATAATATATATCTCCCTGTTAGTTGCCCTGTTTATTGTGTCATACTAAAGTGTTTAATTTTCAAAGCTACTTCTCTTCTATGATAATACATTTTTTTGTAAAATATCTTATCTAATGCAGAACGTGTGAGCATTACAGTCAAATCTATCCATTTATGAAATATTGACATACATTTTTCTCCAGCCTAGTGGTCTCTGTAGCAACCACATTGGTGATAATATTTACTCCAATACAAACGTCATTGTCGGAATATACATATGTATAGAGAATAAAGTTCTGATTTCGGATTTTATTCAAAGGTGATCTTAAGAAAAATTTGAATGGAAATTCTTTTCATTACGATATTAAATAAGAAATGAGCTGCGTCACGACAAAACCAACATAGTGGGTTTGCGACCAGCATAGATCCAGACCAGCCTGCGCATCCGCGCAGTCTGATCAGAATTCATGCTGTTAGCTTACCAACTCTATTACAAGTAGGGAAACTGATAGCGAACAGCATGGATCCTGATCAGACTGCGCAGATGCGCAGGCTGGTCTGGATCCATGCTGGTAGCAAACGCACTATGTTGGTTTTGTCGTGACGCGGCTCAAATGGTTTTCATGCTAACATATAACCTTTTTCAAAAGTTCATCTTTCATTACGTATATCCATTCAGTTTTAATATTGTTTGAAAATCCATGAATTATAAACTTCGTTGGTCTACTTGTGGAGAAGTAGGAATTTTCTAAATCAGTTGTGTTGGTGTAAGTGATATTGTTTGTGACATTTCCTGATGGTCCTTCACGGGTAAACAACAGGAACTGGGTGCCTAAAAATAATTAATTAAACAAAGCATGTGATGAAATAAGTCCAAAAGTCTAAAATTATGAAATTTGAATTTCTTACATTAGATCAGCTGGGTCACTTAAAACGGAAAAATATGCAAAAGATAATTAATAAAACCTGAAAATCGTATTTTATGCCTTTCACAGTACGATTTGAGGGAAAAGCGTTGCAACGCTTTTGAGTTTTTGGTCATTTTTTCACTTTAGAAAAGTTTTTCTGGAAAAACGGAGTGAGTGAATGATCTGAAATATTTCACAGAAGTTAGTGGTCTAGATCTTTACCTACAACAAATGAAACATTAATCTTGAAAAAATTATATTCAATTCCGTCATGTAAAAAACCCCTCAGTGGAGCCCCTTTAAGTAAAAGGCTAAAAAAATGATTTTAATAATACCTTTTTCAAATTTGATGTCTAAGACTTGAAAATAATATATAACTGCCCTTAAAAGATACCGATCACGAATAAAGATGGAGGTGCCACGATAATGTTCTATTATTTAAACCCGATTAAATCCAGATTAAATATATTTTTACAAACTTGAATATCAATTTACCAATTTACAGCACACTTTTGAAAAGTTCTGTGACAGGTTCTACTAATAATAATTAAAAAAATAAAATACAGACGATTTATCAGAGTGGCAGACAAGAAGACATGGCGGACACTCAAAAGGAGGCTTCAAAAGATACAGAAAGGGAAGCAGACAGTCATGAATTTATCTTCAAAAAAGCTAAGTGACGATGATTTTATTCTTTTAGGAAAGGGTTTAAAGTTCTGCCCTAAAATTAAGTCTCATGATAAAATTAAACTTGCTGAAGATACTTTCATGTTTCAAAGAAGATTAAGACTCAAAGAATTTTTTAACAATTTAAATGAACCTTGTGAAACTAATTCTCAAAGTGATAGTGAAAAAGACGAATATTCCCAACACCCATTTTTCAATAAAAAAGAATCGTCATTCACCCCCACCGCTGGAAGAGATGTTTACTTGGACTTTTACATTAATGCTATTACGGAAGAAATATTGCAATCCAGTATCATTAATAAACACAAACGTTATAGTAATATAACCAAGTCTGAAATGGAGTCGCTACGTAAACTGTCACAAGATAAAAGTATAATTATAAAGAAAGCGGACAAATCGAACACTATCGTTATTATGAATACTGACGATTACCGACGGGAAGTTTTACGTCAACTCGAAAACAACAGCTACTATGAAAAATGTACGGAAGATCCTACAGAAATTATTAAATGTAACATATCGGAATGCATTGATAAGATTAAAGAAACAAACGACTGTATTTCAGATGAATTTGATGTATTTCCAACGAACATACGTACACCGTGTTTTTATATCTTACCTAAAACACACAAATCTCCAGACTTCACACTGCCATTAAAGTATCCGGGTAGACCTATTGTGTCAGGATGTAACTCACCGACAGAAAATATTTCAAAGTATCTCGACTTTATACTTAAACCACATATGCTTAGATTGCCATCATATGTAAAAGACACCACAGATTTCATCAACAAATTACGTAATATTAAACTACAAAGCAAAAACACATATTTGGTAACACTAGATGTCTCTTCACTTTATACTAATATACCACATACGGATGGAACTGATGCGTGTTTGTATTATTTAAGACAAGGAAATAATAACAGCAGACTTTCGTCAGATGAAATTGTTAAACTTTTGAAACTTATTCTTGAAAATAACTACTTCAAGTTCGGGGATGACTATTTTCTTCAGAAAATGGGTACCGCTATGGGAAGCCCAGTCGCCCCCGCGTACGCAGCACTTTTTATGGGGAAATTCGAAGAGGAGTTTTTGAAAGATAGTCAGCTTAAACCGTCATTGTGGCTTCGTTTTCTAGACGATATTTTTATGCTTTGGGATCATTCTCTTGAAGAACTTAACACATTTATTGACAAAATCAACAATGTTCACCCAAGCATTAAATTCACCCACACCATATCTCAACAATCTGTTTCGTTTCTTGATGTTCAAGTATCAAAAGGAAAATCGTACGAACTTCAAACTAATGTTTATGTAAAGGAAACTAACAACCACCAATATCTTGATTATACATCCTGTCATCCAAAACGGTGTAAAGACGGAATACCCCACAGTCAGGCTAAGCGTTACAGGAGAATTATATCCGACGACGACGTGTTCTCTACTTCACTGAGCAAACTACGAGAATTCTTCATAAGTAGAAATTTCCCTGAGACGGTTATAGATTCAGCGTTTCTTCACGTGTCACAGATGTCACAAGAGGATGCCTTACGGCCACAAGATAAAGAAAAGAAAAACGTTCTTCCATTTATTGTGACATATAATCCGTCCTTACCTAATATTGGAAATACTATTCATAAATATTGGGACCTACTAAATCTGTCAAAAAACGAAGGTGTTAATGCACTGCATATTTAAATGACCTTACCTACATCGCTAGGAGACTTTGGAAGAACCAAATCTGCGTTATCAAAAGGTGGAGCATTGCTGAAACAACCTACATGTTCGTAGCAGACCTGTTTTGTTTTATTTACTTCACATAACACTGACGTAAAAAGACCGGAGACTGAAAAGAATAAATACGCATCAACTTTTTACCTTACAAAATATTTAATTTACTATAAACAAATCAATGAATGCATGGTTTTAGTTTGAAAAGCGTTTGTTTGTAACTTCGTTTGTCCGTTTCATAGGACCAATAACTCTGGCATGGATATTTTCTAGGTATTCCTCCTTTATATTTGTCTTTATAAACCCTTAAAGGTGTTCATTTGGAACTTTACGCATGTTTTAGTCATTTAGTTTAGTTTTAGTCATTTTCATAGGTCACTTACAAAGACACACATGCGTCCCTAAATGATTTTTTTTCAGAATTAAATTGTGAACTTAAGAAAACCTGGTTAAGGTTTATTGTATTCACAAAATCTTGAGATCTATTGAAGTATATGTCTGCGAGAACATTATTGCAAGTCATGGCCTGAAATCTAACTGAACGGTCCCCAATGGCCCATAACAGACGGTAGCTTTAGCACGGCCTCTCATTGAACGTTGTCCCTGTATCAACTCGTGTTAAACGGTGGATCAACATTCTATGTTAAAAATAGGCCTATCATTTCAGATGAAGTTCCATTGCCAAGGAAGACGAAGGCTTGGGGCTACGGTGTTTGCCTTCCAACTCCGAGTCATATGCCTTCGAACTTGGTCAAAATCATTATTTTAACTGGTTTGTTTTGATACCAGACTCAATTAAATTATTGATGTAATTGGAAAATAAAACATTAGAAATAATATTTTTGTTGCGTAAAGGTACGTTTTGAAATAGTTGCCGAATAATATTTAATAATTGTATGAACATATTTACCTGTAAGGAATAGTAAGATATCCATATCTGCTAGTAATGGTACTAAATTAGTCCTTATCTTTGTGACATGACCTTATTTAAGGACACATTTAGGTCTTGTTGACACAAATACACTAGTGCCTGTAGTTTTAATGTACAATGCCACAAGCATAACATTCTGATCAGTTGATTAAGATAAACTTAGGTATAAAAATTGAATGAGGTCACTTTAGAAATATAATATCTTAGGTTATAATTAATTTGTTTTTAAATTCGTGATACAATTGTGCAGTTATCTAATTAAGCAAATATAAATGTCATCTAAAAGATTAACAATTTGTTATAAATAGTTTAGAATTGACCGATGCAATGATGAATTTAACTAATAAACATGAACATTTCTGTATTCACGCATTTTTGAAAGACGCAGAATGATGCATTCGACCTTCTTATACAAGCATAAGAACGTATAAACATCTCTTGCAATTAAGTGTGTTGAAATGCGTCACTCGGATATGTTTCCCTTTAAAAAAATACATGGTATTTGCTAGTGTAATTATTAATAATGAAACATGAAACTCCTCAATTTGATGTCGTGAACGCGAACTCCATGTACATATATATGTGTGCACTATTCTCTCTTTAATTTCATGCTAAAAGACTTTAATGATTTTAAGTTATGTCACCCGGAAAAGAGTAATGTTTGGCATGACTGAAAGTGGTTAAGTACTAAACCATGATATGATATTTAAAACAGATATAACAAGATCTCAACATTTTATCATCGCTTGGAACTTTGACTTCATATATTGACCTTCTTCATGCTTCTCATGTATAACACAGTAGTCCAGGCACAAGTTCATATTTAAATTTGACCTTTGACCTTCAAGCGTGACCTTTATCTTAGCCACAATTACCTGATTTTTTACTCTCACAGTGGTGAAAATTTGTGTGGTGTAAATAAATATTAAAATCCGTTAATACATGTAGTGTTGCTCAGGACTATCATTTGCTTTTGACCTCCAAGTGTGACCTTGACCCATGTCCCTGCCACTAAATTTCAAAATGGTGAACATTTATGTCAAGCAATACTTAAATCCTTCCATGTACACATGTATTTAGAAGATATACTCTAGAAAAACTAGAAACTTCTGAATGCTACAAGTCCATCAGGGGCAATCACATTATACATGTCCTTTTCAACAGGTAAATAAAAATGAAACTGTAAGAGTACAAATCAACAATATTCAATTTGGAATTGTGGATGAACTGCAACAAACAGCATATATCTTTATTTAAAGCTCAAGCAAACAAAGTGTTCATCGGTATGCTATCAATTTTCCTGCATTGAAAAGTAAAGGGTTGCCTGACACAAAATGATTCTCAAGATTTGTTTACTTTCATAACTTAACACTTTGTGAAACTGGGTCAGATTCAATCGAATTGACACTGTCCATACACAAAACAACAATGTCATGTTTTTTTTCCTTCAAAATATAACAAAGCTGACATAATATTGAAGTATCACTTTAATTACTACAGTGACTACAATAATTAACAATAAATAAATACAAATGTAACAATAGCAAGTTTTGACATTTTAACAACAAGAATGTCTCTGTCTAAAGTCGTTGTCTAGCAAAATATAAAATGGTATATAGCCTGTAATATTTCTATAAATAAAAAAAAATTGATTTAGTTAATGGCAGCAAATGAGATAATAAATTTCCATCAGTGAGATATAATTCATATCATTCACAGGATATCTCTCACTTTAAATAACTCGCTGTTTATAATTAATAAGTGTTTCTTAATCGGTGTGGAATTTTTTTATTCTAATCAAATAAGTGTCAGATAAAACAAGCAATTATCATAGTATTGCAAGCAATCCATAAGTCCCCTACCGGTTAGAACCCCATCAACATTCTGAAGGGCCATTGGCCATTCACTAATGTTTCAATTTTTCTCTATATTAAGTAAATTTGTTGGAAAAGTTCTTTAAAAGTGATCACAGGAAACAGTTTTTATGAACAGACAGACAGACGGACTGAAGGACACTCTAAAGTTAATATTTGAAACATCCCTGTAACCAAAATATAACATTTTTAAAAGCAAATTCTTAAAGAGGAGATAACTCTTAAATTAAAGATGCAATTCCATAAAAATTTTCAGCTCTTTTTGAATAATCACAAATATTGTTATATTTGCCATGTTTTAAGCCTATTTGTTGCCAAGGCAACCAATATTTTTTCAAAATAGGAAGAACAGATAAGACATGCATAATCTCAAGACTGCCATCTACCCTTATGTCAAGTTTCATAAAAATATTTCCAGTACTTTTTGAGTTATCACTGGATTCAGTTTATGTGTAAAATTTGCCATATTTTCAGTCTATGTGTTGCCATAGCAACCAAAATTTTCAACATAGGAAGAAAAGAAAAAGACGTGCATAATCTCCAGACTGCCATCTACCCATTTTACAAGTTTCATAAAAATATTTCCAGTACTTTTTGCGTTATCACTGGATCCAGTTTATGTGTAAAATTTGCCATATTTTCAGCCTATTTAATGCCATAGCAACCAGAATTTTCAACATAGGAAGAAAAGGACGTGCATAATCTCCATACTGCCATCTATCCATATATCAAGTTTCATAAAATTATTTTCAGTACTTTTCAAGTTATCGGGGATCCAGTTTTGTGGACTGACAGACAGACGGACAGACAGACAGACAGACAGACCGATGGACGGAGGGTAAACCTTAAGTCCCCTCCGGTAAACTGGTAGGGGACTAAAAAAAATCTGCTTGATTTTCATGTAAATAAAAGTATAAATCATGTCTCAACGAAGTGTATTAAATTATTAATATTTTATATATAAGCATCAAGCTTGTGAGATAATTTTCTATTCTAAACTATATATCTAATTGCAGATATCTCGGTATAAAAAATATAAGCTACTAATATAACATCTATAAAAAATTTCATTGTGAGACACATACAATGTTAATCAATAACTTTTACAATGAAAATATGTAATTGCAGACCAGTCTTAAACTCTCACATCTGATTGGTTGCCATATATTTAAATTGGACCAATAAACTGGTCACATTTACAGTCTGGTCTTAGTTCTGTGTTTTAAAATCTTAACCTGCAGAAAATATAAGTCAAGAAATGGTAAAACGAAAATATATTCTACTAAATCAGTGTATCAAATGCACCTTCTGTAGAAAGCATAAATATATATTCTACATGAGAAATGCGTTAAATTGTTTTAAAAGTAAAAATTTAAAGAACCGTATACCTTTCAAAAACTTCATAACAAAATGGTAAGAACATAGTAAATCTGCGTTATAAAATTTGTTCCCAACATGTATACACTAACATTCAAAGCAGATAATGCAAAATATAAATACCGGTAATAATTTTAAAATATAATGATCTTTTTGGCAATAAATCAATAAATAAACAAGGAGCATTATGTAAACATATCATGCGTAGAAAAATAAAGTTTCAACTCTTAACTTCTTTTCAAAATTCTACCTGGCAAGACTTAAATTACGTGTTTAGTTTTATTTGCACAATTTCACAATAATTATAATTTGAAATAAAAGAATCAGATAATGTGTTTTTACAATCATATCTATATATTATAACATGCATGTATAATTGAATTACCACATGACATGATTTCTATGCAAAAATTTTAAATATTCACTGAGCAAACCTTATAACAAATGTATGTAAAACTATCAATAATTGAATTTTCAAATCTTCTTGCTTTAAAAAACAAGTTAAAAGACTGTCATTCCTTCAAATATTTCAGATTTTACATCAATTACTTCGATTTGCCATGAACAAAAAAAATCACAAATAATAATTATAATTTGAAATAAAAGAATCAGATAATGTGATTTAACAATCATATCTATATATTATAACATGCATGTATAATTGAATTACCACATGACATGATTTCTATGCAAAAATCTTAAATATTCACTTAGCATACCTTATAACAAATGTATGTAAAACTATCAATAATTGAATATTCAAATCTTCTTGCTTTAGATAACAAGTTAAAAGACTGTCATTCCTTCAAATATTTCAGATTTTACATCAATTACTTTGATTTGCCATGAACAAAAAAAATCACAAATTGTTTGTTTGTTTGACTGATTGGGTTTTAAATCACACCAACACAGTATAGGTGGCATGGCCACTTTCTAGCTTTACTGGTGGAGGAAAATCTCATGTGCCCTTTCGTGCATTATTTCAGGCACAAGTGGGCACCTGAGTAGAACCACCAACTTCGGTAAGCTAGCTGGATAGCTTCTTCACATGAAAGAGTTGGGATTCGAAATCATAGCAGTGAGGGGCAAGTGGTTTGAGGTCAACAACCTTATTACATCATTTAACAATTAACATAACAAAAATATAACTAATAATGCATTCCGATTCTATATATCAGTCCAATTAAATATTTCAAAAATAAAAGTCAACATGTTCCATGCTAATAAGTGTAAATAATATCTTATCACATACGTGTTTATTAAATTCAAAAAACAATTTAATGTGGTCGTGTACTCAACACTTTGTTAGAGATCTTTACTTCTTGACAACCTTTGATATGTAAACATTTGCAGACATTGAGATAATCTGAACTGTTTTTGTATAAAATCACGACTGTAATATCATAGCGGCATTTATATATAATTTTTTTATACTAAGTAAAAGTACATTTCCTGAAAAGTTACAAAATAAAAGGTTGAATTCTTTCAAGAAAATATTTTGCAAAATACTAAACAATAAAAATTTACATACAGAAATAGAGGTAAACACAGGTGAAACTGAGAAATATATCCAACAAGAGTAGTATCAAAATAACTGCTACCACTGGTAACTAAAGAAGCCAAGATGTATGAAAAAATGTACACCTATAGTAAAGTTTGGAAAAATTAAATAAATTATCGCACTTCCCCCATTTGCATGTCATAAATTAGGGACTGGTGTGGAGGATTTGGTAACAGTAGTGGCTCTACACAAATGATCACATTTACCATATTGGCATGTTGTAAATAAGGGACTGGAGCAGAGCATTAGGTTGCAGTAGTTGCTCTACACAAATGACCACACTTTCCATATACGCATGTTATAAATAAGGGACTGGAGCGGAGAATTAGGTTGCAGTAACTTCTCTTCACCAATGACCACACTTTCCATATAGGCATGTTATAAATAAGGGACTGGAGTGGAGGATTCAGTTGCACAATTGATCACATTTAACATATTGGCATGTTATAAATAAGGGACTGAAGTGAAGGATTCAGTAACAGTAGTTGCTCTCCACAAATGATCATTCTTTCCATATAGGCAGGTTACAAATAAGTGACTGGAGTGGAGTGTTAGGTAGGGGCATATAACATTCACTAAATTATCATTTGTTTTGCAGTTTCATTACTCCTTTAAATGATTTACTAGATATTTAATATAAAGTTATTTTCATGAACTACTTATTCTTGGTCAACTAAAGAAAGTCATGGCCCACTCATTTCACCACAATACTTTCATCTGCTTTTCTCTTTAGTAGTCATGCTACAGAATTTAAATGATTCATATCCAAGTGTCCATTTACTTAGGAAATGCTGACTAAACAAAAATATTATAATCCTATAATACATACAAAATTTTGGAATTTCATTCAAATTCATCTATTCCATTTTGTGTAAAAATAACCTTAAATATAATCTTATATACTTAACAATATCTACAAATATTGGACTTTACAGATTTTATTTTCCTCTTTACAATTTGTATGGGTATGTAGGTTGAATTTAAGAAAGAAAATATTTTTTGAAAATAGTGCTACAGGTATGGTAAGTTTGAAAAATAGAGAAAGCACAACATTTATTTATAAAAGCAGATAACATTTACTTTGAGCAAAACCGTGGCAATACTTAGCTTATATTTTGATATCAACACTGGAAGCATATTACAATATGTAAAATATCAAACACTGACCAATTTATATATCTTAACAAAATAAACAAACAAGTTGGCACAATACTGAAATAACACAATAATAAATACTGAGTAATGACAAAACAATATTTCATACTGTTATGAATTACAAAATTTTTGTCCTGTAAAAAGTTCTTATACCCTTCTCTGACAAAACAACATTTCATATTGTTATGAATAAAAAGATTTTTGCCCTGTAAAAAGTTCTTATACCCTTCTCTGACAAAACAATATTTCATATTGTTATGAATAAAAAGATTTTTGCCCTGTAAAAAGTTCTTATACCCTTCTCTGACAAAACAATATTTCATATTGTTATGAATAAAAAGATTTTTGCCCTGTAAAAAGTTCTTGTACCCTTCTCTGACAAAACAATATTTCATATTGTTATGAATAAAAAGATTTTTGCCCTGTAAAAAGTTCTTATACCCTTCTCTGACAAAACAATATTTCATATTGTTATGAATTACAAAGATTTTTACCCTGTAAAAAGTTCTTATACCCTTCTCTGACAAAACAATATTTCATATTGTTATGAATAACAAAGATTTTTGCCCTGTAAAAAGTTCTTATACCTTTCATTTTGTAAAAGTATCTCCATTAATTTTATAACTATATCTTTAAATATCTATGTTTCAAATCTATTCATGGGTGCTTATCTTTACTAAACATCTTTACGAACCATAGTAATGAATAGATAATTCAAAGTCTAACCAGAAACAAGTTTCAGAGAAAAAAATAAATTTGAATGAGATATTTATCCACATTATGCTGATAATGAATCACAATTCTGAGAGATAACATAATAACACTACAATAACAACAACATATGGGGGAGGGATTCTGTATTGGGGGACAGGGTATGGGGGGAGGGGGAGTAAGCAGTGATGGCTGAAATTATGTCTATATCAATACTGATGCAGTGAGCATTGGTAGTTTAACGTTTTACACCACTAAATATGTATGCTGGACTTGTCATGTTTCAAAGATTTGGAAGTGTCCATTTGATATTTTTAGGGATTTCAATATCGCAATACAAAAATGGAACAGCCAGCAGTATAGAGTCTGGTCAGACTGCACCTATTTGTAGGCTGGTCTAACGATAGTATCATCACTATATATCAGCTTAAGAAGAAATAAATACAGTGAAAACTTGACAGACCTATTAACTATTAACAACATAAGTTTTGATTCTTCACAAGTTAACAATTCACAACAAATGTCACTTCACTATAGCAACACCTCTCCGCAACAAGCAAGAGCTATTATCTATAGGTTAAAACAACATAAGTTTTGATTCTTCTCAAAGTAACAATTTACCTCTTAGCAACAAGCAAGAGCAATTACCACAAAACAGCAAGAATCTTTGATTCTTCCCAAAGTTTCAATTCGCAATAAATTTTACTTCTCTATACACTACAGCAACACCTTAATATTAAAAGCATAACTAATACCCATAATGCAGAATATGACTAATACAAAAAAATTTCTCATAAACTGATCTAAGATATTACTGTATTATTTCATCTCATGTTTTATTTTGAAATTTTTTACCCAAAAATTATGCAACTATGAGAAAAAAAGGATGTTTTTACAATGGTTAGAAATATCATAATTGATTCTGATCACTACATGTATATTATTCATTACTCACAACTGTTTCTAATTTATTATATACTAATAAATGAAATATTGAGAATTATTTAATTTTACATATGAAATATGGTGCTATATCAGTCAAATATATTTCATATTTTTTAAAAATAAATATGAAATATAAATATGAAAGTGGGCGGAGTCAAAACTCGTATTTATTTTAAGGGACTTCTTTCGCCATTTTGTTTGAAAAATCTGATAAACACAAACAACTTTTTTGTTGAATTTTGTTTTGAAAACTATCTAGAATGATAGAAAATGGTCTAACTAAGAAAATAAATCCGAACACCAATCATTAACGCTGTATAGACGTTTAAAAAGTTGTTTACGTGACGTCACAATCTAGCGCTAAATATCGCGTGCAAAACAAGACGATACTTATATTACTGCGCGCTGTATAATTGCAGTTGCGTAGCAGGCAAGGGGGTTCATAACCATTTTTCTTTGATAATGAAATTAAATAAAAAGGTTATTTTTTCGTTTTTCGTGAAATATGGTATATATTTTCACTCAACATGAAAATATGTGGCATTTTATCATGTTTCGTGAAAATATATTCCATATTTCACTCAAATGAAAAAATATCCTCTTAATATTGATTTCATTTTCCATATTTTCACTGTAAAGATCTTTTTGCACTGCAGTGAAACATATTTTTCATATCTTAATATGTACCTTGCCAGACTTTTTTTTTCTAAATTCAGCCAATACACAAAATTTTAGGGGAAGTCTTTCAAATTTAAATATCAAAAAAGCGAAAAAATGTATATAATAAACAGATAATTCAAGTTTTTTTCTGTACATACAGGATTTATTATCATCTTGTGGTACGAAAATATATCATATTTCACTTAAGGCTACCACCACTCATGAAATATTTATTTTCATACCACTTGAAGAAAACATATCCTGTATTTATAGAAAAAACTTAAATATATCCTACATATTTCTTACAATAGCTCATTTTAGTATTTATTGTTTTTCTACGAAATATTGTATGAACTATGGTATGATGTTACTTTTAATCTCTAACTTTCCTGTTCACCTTCCCATACACTTCAGGGAATGCATTTTCACAGTCAAGTTGTTTCCTCATTTTATCATAGAGGGTGTGGTCAAACATTTCACGGAAATCCGCCTCTGATAGGTACGTATCAGCATACAACATCTGAAATCTGTATAAATACATTTGATGTTTTCATATTTACTAGCAAAGAGATGGGAAAAGATAAATTAATAATAAAAACAAAATGCTATTAGGTAACAGCAAGAGATGATGAATTGATTTAGATAACTTAATATGTTGTTTTTAATATATTGTAATAACGTTTGACTATTAGTAATCCAAACTTAATACACATAGAGTCCTTTAGTGATAAAAATGTTATCTAATATATACCGGTGCCTCCCCAGCCTGAGATGAGGCTAGCTATAGACATTTTAAAAAATAAAATAAAGGTAACTATTGTTTTTGCTTTTGAAACTGTTTAAAGTTAATAACCAAGGAAATATCGGTTAACAACTTTTACTCTGTAGGCTACAGATAGGTGTTTGCCACCATGTTGTGTACATAAATGCAAAATGTAAACATCAAATGGAACAAACTAGGACATAATTGACAATATCTACAATATTCATGATATTTTCCAGAACTTTATTCTTTTAACTTTTGTTGTTTGTTAAACATTTAAGTACCATGGAAATATGAGGCAGCAGTATACTCCCTTGTGACAATACTGGTTTCAAAAATTGAACAAAATTATGCCAAAGAATCACTATTAAAAACTGGCTGAACATATAGGATAAGCAAACATAAAGACATACTAACCCTTTCACTTTTTTCACATATGCCTCTAGATTTTTGGTAGCTTGAACGGCCTGGAAGCCAGGAGCCGTTGGCGCTCCATATGCTCCTATATCAACATACATCTCATCAGCACTGCCCTCTGGGTGGATAAATCCTGGGTTATTGTATAACATAAAGGGACATAACCACAATGGGTAAAGCTGAAAAATGAAAATAAACTTTGTTATGAGCAAACCTGGCTGACTCTTGCATTAAATGGTATCCAATAAAATAGCACCCAATAAGTATAAACATTAAAATTATTTTTATTTGGCAAAGTTAAAAAATTTTTATTTTATTTTTTGGTTGGGTTTTACATTGTACCAACACAGTATAGGTTGTATGCTGACTTTCCAGCTGTACTGACGGAGGACCTCATGTGCCTTTCCATGCATTATTTGAAGCACAAATGGGCACCTGAGTAGAACCACCGATCATATGATTCATGAAAATAGTTACATAAATATGAGCCGCGCCATGACAAAACCAACATGATGCGTTTGCGACCAGCATGGATCCAGACCAGCCTGCGCACCCGCGCAGTCTGATCAGGATCCATGCTGTTCGCTATCAGTTTCACTACTTGTTATAGGGTTTGTAAGCGAACAGCATGGATCCTGATCAGACTGCGCGGATGCGCAGGCTGGTCTGGATCCATGCTGGTTGCAAACGCATTATGTTAGTTTTGTCGTGACACGGCTCATATAAAGTTGTAAAACTTACATGTAGTTCTTTATGGAACACATCAAGAGCCTCATCCAACTTGCCAAGGGGAATAAGCATGTCCTGTATCACTTGATGTTCCTCATATAGTTTTTTGGTTGTCTCCCCTTGAGTTAACTTCAGCAGAGAAACTTTTGGGGGAACTGTCCATCCAAGAAGGAAGCGAAATATTGGATTGTTACCAAATGGAATTATATCCTGCAAAATAAAAGTTTACAGAATGTGTGCAAGCTATTTTTGTAAGATTATCGACATATTTTAACACCATTTAAATACTGTATAAACTTTTCTCAGTGCTTAATCAGGGCTCGCGCTGGCAGGAGCCAATGAGCAAATTGGCTCCAATATAATTAAATTGGCTCAAGAAAATCACGATTGGCTCAAACTTACGAAAAGTATGACTTTTGGAATCTCCAGTCTAAATTTAGCATTTTCTATTTTAAGAATGCAAAAGTATACATCTGGCTTTCCATCTACAACTTCCGTTTTATCACTTCTTATCTCAAAACACAGCGACACAGTCTTCTTTTTGTGGGTCATTGACTGGTTTATATTTGTAACTTCCGTTTTGAACGAAATATTGATATGAACAGTAACACAGTCTAATACACTGACCTCAGGGTATGTTAACATGTTTATCAGCTGATAAATACGACACTAATTGGTGTGAAAAATGCCTGTGGCAGATTGTTGAATATGCACTTTATAATTGGTCTTAATATTCAATATGAAACAATAACTAGCCGCATCTCAAGATTATTGCTAATTAAATCAGCATTTTGGATATGAAATGGCGACAAATTATGTTCTGCAGTTTGTAACTTGACCAGTAAATTTTATCGTTGTTGATAAACAGATCGAAGGAATTACGAGTTGATAGAGTTATTGTTGTTGATTTTTTTTGGTGGTGATGGGAGGGGGTATTATTGCCAATAAAATCCAGGGCCAAAACACCATTTTTGTCTCAGCCTTTATCTTGGGGAAAATATGCATGATTTTAGCATACTTTGGGAAAAGGGGTCTCAAATTTAACACAAAATTTTAAGAAGTTCTTTAAAATAGAAAAGCAAAAAGCAGTGGGAAATACTAATAAGGCAGTAAAAGACCTAAATTCAACACCATCATTTAATTTTGTTCTAAATTCTATGGGAAATTTCAAAAGACTGGGGGATTTTGAGGACCAAACTTGGGAAAAAAAGAGGCTAGTTTGGTTGGGGAAGCAGCCTTTATTGGGCCACATCAAAGAAGGGTATTTTGGCCCTGAAATCTGACCTAATTATGGCTCCAAAAATATAAAATTGAGAAGGAATTTATTTGACATACAGAGTATTCCTGAAAAAAAAGATTGACCTTATATCACTACCATGCCACAGACTCAGATTTTAAGGGAACCTTGCTACCTACATGTAACTTTTGGCAAATGTTATAGTTACTGACCTCTAAGCTTAAAATTATGATTACTGACTGTAAATTTGTTTAATGTAATAAAAATGTAGCTACCAAAATTAAGTTGGATATAGTTATTAAGTTAATGCTTTTCTAAATATCACATGCCGTACCATTGCCTGATTTGAAAATAAAATACAGACATGCAATTTTTCGCCGCAAAGAATTGGCTCAAAGTAAAAAATTGCCAGTGCTAGCCCTGCTTAATAGTATGATAAAAAGAAAGTAGAAAAGGGGACATAATTCTGTTCAACTATTTAGCAAAAAATCAAGAAGAATTTCAAGTTTGAACTGAAAATTTGTGATGGTTTTTGAGAAAATTTTGAAAATATTTTTTAAATGTAAGATTTTTTAAAAAATATTTTCAAAAATAACTGAGCAAGAATACCCTTCAGGGTTATCTGTCCTTTAGAAATGTATTCCAATCTTTATAGTGAATTAGTAAATTGCAAGTTTATAGTGAATATTTTGATAGTTTTTGAGAAATTAACCGTAAGATCCAAGTCAAATCAGATGCATAACTTTGCCAAAAATATGTTTATTATCTGCCTTTTCATATTGCATTACATGATAATAGTGAAGAAGTACACCAAATTTAAAGTGAATAGCATAAGTAGTTTCTGAGAAAACTGACTGTAACCTATTACATGTATTGGCAGTGGGTGGGGTAATGCAGTAATTTCGCGATGAGCATTATCTATTAGAACCTCGTTAAAACGCGTGTTCAGACCTTGGACCTCAACATAGAGCGTTTATATACCAGGGCTGCAATGTACATGTACCTATTAAAGGTTATAGTGACCATGATGGCATGACCTTTGACCTTTTGACCTCAAAATCAGTGTGACAGGTCATTAAGGCGTATCCACATTTTGAAGTTTCAATGTTATGGCTTTATTAGTTTTGAAGTTTATAATCATAAACAAAAACTTAACCAAAAAAGTTAACCAATGCAGATGCTGATGAGTGAGTCTTCACAACACCTCCACATTTACTTGTTTTTTAAAGTGGAGCTAATAAAGACTACATCACAGTCATCAAATTTAGCACTGGCCTGTTGGCCCAAGGCCAGTGAAAATAAGTTCTGGCCAGTGAAAATTTTAAGAAACTTTAATTAAATATATAGTAGAATAAATTCAAACCTGGAATTCCGGCTAGTTAATTCAAAATCTTAAATTCATTGACTGACATCACTGCTCTACATTCTAAACATGAAAAAATTATAAATGTTTCTATCTCTAATCTTTTATTTAATAATTCTTTAGTCTTTTAGTAAATATTATTTTGTTTAGTATTTCAATAGAATGTTTGATAATGACAACATACATGAGTCGTGCCTGAAAATCAAGGGAGGTAACAAAATCAGTATTTTTTACAATGAAAAAAGCTATCAATTTTACTTATTTACCTGTAACTCCCAGAATATACTTCTAGAATGCCTATGATAATAATGCCTAAGTGGAATATATTCTACAGCAGAACCACGTCTTAAATATTTCTCCACATGTTTGAAAAACCATGGCTTCCAAAAGCATCCTAAAGCATTTATCTGTAAAAACAAAATGATTAATTTTAAAATAAACATACAAAAGTATGCATGTATTCATAAGTCATTCATACAACTTTACTCTGAATGGTTCTACTAGGTTGACTATTGTTGTTTTTTAATGCAATAAATGAAACACATCATCTTCATAATTCTCTTTGATAGAAATTTGCATATTTTCTAAACACAGATATGCTTAAGGAATATATGTTATAGAAATTTTACATTTTGCATTTAATTAATGTCAATAAGAAATTTGCATTGCCATGATTACTTCATCTCAAATTCTATTCTATATGGAATATAATTATGTTCAAAATATTCTACTTTTTTTGGCATTTGCAAATAAAAGTTCAAGGAAAATTAATACAGCTGTTAATATTTGACAAGTAAATATGAACAAGAGGGCCATGATGGCCCTGATGTCGCTCACCTGTATATAGGCCCCCGGAGCAGGGCCAGTTTAAACACTACGGCGTTTATTTGAACAAACTTGGAAGACACCCATTAGAAGATGTTTCATGATGTTAAGTTTTTACTACACACATATAATGAAAAACAATGACCTTCCTTCCTCCCACCCCCCGGCAGGGCCAATTTTAACCCAAGGGCTTTTATTTGAACACACTTGGTAGACACCCATAAGAAGATGTTTCATGCTAAACACCTAAGCTCTAGCTCATTGGGTTTTTTAAAAGAAGATTTTTTAAGTTTTTACTATACACATAATTAGTTAAAAACAATGACACCCCTGGAGCCAGTTTTGACCCCAGGGCTTTTATTTGAACAAACTTTGTAGACACTTACTAGAAGATGTTTCATGCTTAATATCTAAACTCTAGCTATTTGGGTTTTTTCAAAGATTTTTAAGTTTTTGCTATACACATATAAGGAAAATCAATGACCCCCGCAGGGCAAGGCTAATTTTGGACCCCAGGGCTTTTATTTGAACAAACTTTGTAGACACTCACTAGAAGATATTTCATGCTTAATATCTAAATTTCTAGCTATTTGGTTTTTTTCAAATAAGATTTTTAAGTTTTTGCTATACACATATAAGGAAAATCAATGACCCCCGGGGCGGGGCCAATTTGACCCCAGGGCTTTTATTTGAACAAACTTGGTAGACACCCATTAGAAGATGTTTCATGCTAAATATCTTAGCTCTAGCTCTTTGAGTTCTTTAAAAGAAGATTTTTTAAGTTTTTACTATATGCATATAGGGAAAATCAAATGACCCCCTGGGCGGGGCCAATTTTGACCCCAGGGCTTTTATTTGAACAAACTTGGTAGACACTCACTAGAAGATGTTTCATGCCAAATATCTAAGCTCTAGCTCTTTGGGATTTTTAAAAGAAGATATTTTAAGTTTTTTTTCTTTCGGTTGCTATGGCAACCAGAGTTCTGCATGGAATTAAATTCTTTGAACAATTTTTAAAGGTGACCACCAAAGGAACATTCCTGTGAAGTTTGGATGAAATTGGCTTAGTGGTTTATGAGGAGATGTCATTCAAAGTAAAAGTTTACGGACGGACGGACGGACAAGCGATCACAAAAGCTCACTTTGTGACAGGTGAGCTAATAAGGCAATGCCAGCTCTTTGTAGTATGTAATTAGGCAAAAGTCTATGAACGGGAAAGTCGGTTTAAAATAATAATTCATTTTTTATTTTACATTTTCTGTTTTAAAAGTGCCATTTGGTATTTTGTCCACTTCTTCTGTTTATTCTGGTTCCCTGTCTTATCATGGTTAACATAGAAGTGTGCAGGAGACCAGTCTGCGTGTCCATTTTCAATCAGAATTCCTCGGCTTTTTTTTTTTCTTATCTTGTAAGTCGAAAAGTTGCGATTGACTATAATAGAACATTACCCATAATTTGCAGTACTTCCGGCAAAATGTTTTCAAAACCATCACTATTTAGCAGGTACTTGCGTTAACATAAAGCTGGTTTTGTGAGACGGCCCTTTGGGCCAGCTCTTCGAGCTCTTTATTAATTTTACTAATGAGCCTGACAGCAAAATCCTTTAAAGTGTAGAACTTAGAACCATGCATGTGATACATGCTCATTTAGGCCGCCACCAACAACCAAAATGGGTTGCACATTTCAGAAGGTGTATGTAATATTGTTTTATAGACTCTAGCACAATGGTTCTGAAATTACTCCTTTCCTGGAGGAAAGACTGGTTCTTTTTTACATGGATGATGAGCAGTACCAATACACGGGATTTTTCGAAGTTTTAGTTAAAATAGCCCAGATAGAACACGCTACCTCTGAATTTGTAATGAAACAAATCATGAAATAGCCCAGATAGAACACGCTACCTCTCAATTTGTAATGAAACAAATCATGAAATAGCCCAGATAGAACACGCTACCTCTGAATTTGTAATGAAACAAATCATGAAAAATTTTTAAGTTTTTACTATACACATAATTAGTTAAAAACAATGACACCCCTGGAGCCAGTTTTGACCCCAGGGCTTTTATTTGAACAAACTTTGTAGACACTTACTAGAAGATGTTTCATGCTTAATATCTAAACTCTAGCTATTTGGGTTTTTTCAAAGATTTTTAAGTTTTTGCTATACACATATAAGGAAAATCAATGACCCCCGCAGGGCAAGGCTAATTTTGACCCCAGGGCTTTTATTTGAACAAACTTTGTAGACACTCACTAGAAGATATTTCATGCTTAATATCTAAATTCTAGCTATTTGGGTTTTTTTCAAATAAGATTTTTAAGTTTTTGCTATACACATATAAGGAAAATCAATGACCCCCGGGGCGGGGCCAATTTTGACCCCAGGGCTTTTATTTGAACAAACTTGGTAGACACCCATTAGAAGATGTTTCATGCTAAATATCTTAGCTCTAGCTCTTTGAGTTCTTTAAAAGAAGATTTTTTAAGTTTTTACTATATGCATATAGGGAAAATCAATGACCCCCTGGGGCGGGGCCAATTTTGACCCCAGGGCTTTTATTTGAACAAACTTGGTAGACACTCACTAGAAGATGTTTCATGCCAAATATCTAAGCTCTAGCTCTTTGGGATTTTTAAAAGAAGATATTTTAAGTTTTTTCTTTCGGTTGCTATGGCAACCAGAGTTCTGCATGGAATTAAATTCTTTGAACAATTTTTAAAGGTGACCACCAAAGGAACATTCCTGTGAAGTTTGGATGAAATTGGCTTAGTGGTTTATGAGGAGATGTCATTCAAAGTAAAAGTTTACGGACGGACGGACGGACAAGCGATCACAAAAGCTCACTTTGTGACAGGTGAGCTAATAAGGCAATGCCAGCTCTTTGTAGTATGTAATTAGGCAAAGTCTATGAACGGGAAAGTCGGTTAAAATAATAATTCATTTTTTATTTTACATTTTCTGTTTTAAAAGTGCCATTTGGTATTTTGTCCACTTCTTCTGTTTATTCTGGTTCCCTGTCTTATCATGGTTAACATAGAAGTGTGCAGGAGACCAGTCTGCGTGTCCATTTTCAATCAGAATTCCTCGGCTTTTTTTTTTCTTATCTTGTAAGTCGAAAAGTTGCGATTGACTATAATAGAACATTACCCATAATTTTGCAGTACTTCCGGCAAAATGTTTTCAAAACCATCACTATTTAGCAGGTACTTGCGTTAACATAAAGCTGGTTTTGTGAGACGGCCCTTTGGGCCAGCTCTTCGAGCTCTTTATTAATTTTACTAATGAGCCTGACAGCAAAATCCTTTAAAGTTAGAACTTAGAACCATGCATGTGATACATGCTCATTTAGGCCGCCACCAACAACCAAAATGGGTTGCACATTTCAGAAGGTGTATGTAATATTGTTTTATAGACTCTAGCACAATGGTTCTGGAAATTACTCCTTTCCTGGAGGAAAGACTGGTTCTTTTTTACATGGATGATGAGCAGTACCAATACACGGGATTTTTCGAAGTTTTAGTTAAAATAGCCCAGATAGAACACGCTACCTCTGAATTTGTAATGAAACAAATCATGAAATAGCCCAGATAGAACACGCTACCTCTCAATTTGTAATGAAACAAATCATGAAATAGCCCAGATAGAACACGCTACCTCTGAATTTGTAATGAAACAAATCATGAAATAGCCCAGATAGAACACACTACCTCTGAATTTGTAATGAAACAAATCATCAAATAGCCCAGATAGAACACGCTACCTCTGAATTTGTAATGAAACAAATCATGAAATAGCCCAGATAGAACACGCTACCTCTCAATTTGTAATGAAACAAATCATCAAATAGCCCAGATAGAACTCTCTACCTCTGAATTTGTAATGAAACAAATCATTAAACAGCCCAGATAGAACTCTCTACCTCTGAATTTGTAATGAAACAAATCATGAAATAGCCCAGATAGAACTCTCTACCTCTCAATTTGTAATGAAACAAATCATCAAATAGCCCAGATAGAACTCTCTATCTCTGAATTTGTAATGAAACAAATCATTAAATAGCCCAGATAGAACTCTCTACCTCTGAATTTAAAATTGTGAACCCCAACTGTATGATCATCTTTTATCCTTTACCTTATCAGGTTCTGCATCGTCAGTCATTATTCCTGTCATAATAACACCACTCGTCTCCGAATATACTAGACACTCAACAAAATCATTGCCAGATTTTTTCATGGTTTCCTGCTCGAAGCGTTTTATCATCTGTTGTCTGCTGAGTGCCGGGAAATATTCTATCCGAACATACTTCTTAGCTGGAATGATCTGTATCTCTGCTGATACGAGAAATCCGAGTGTTCCGTAAGACCAAGGCACAGAGTAAAACAAATCAGGATTTTCTTCCTTGTAAAATAAAAAAACAATCTTTTGTCAATGTATTTAGCATAGGCTATTTATAAAAATTGATGACTGACTGGTTTACTCTTACATATATGTAGACAGAATAAACATGCATACATTTCTTTTCAGCAAATAACTCTGATATATATGTAAATACCAGTATGTTAGGATTATAAATTCTAACATTTTCTGTAAACAACAAAAATAATTACATGTATATGTATACATATAACTTTTATAATCCATATCATTATGATGAAAAGCATGATGGAATTAGGAATATTTCTTGAATTTACAGAACCTGAAAACATCTCCACACTATGATTTAAAGTACTGTTTTAGACTTAATCTAATCTATTCAGAACAAAAAATATGAGTTCTTAATTCTAATGTACATGTTATTGGAAGTTTCAAGAATTCAATCTCTCTTCTGTTTCAAGAGTCGGGATTGGATTTACATGTACCTTAAATTTAACAAAAATATTTACTGATATAGCTATTTACCTTTGAACATTTGACCACACTACCATCGGCCAGAACTAGTTCATACCCTACACAACAATGCTGAAAGAGCCCAACTTTATGAGAAGAAGTTTCTATGCCAACACCCATGATCAGTCCACCTGAAAAAAAAAATCTTTTTTTTTATAATTTTTTAATTTTCTCACATCATATTAAAAGATCGTTTGAACAAATTTCTTTTGGACTGAAATATTTATCAATATAATTATACATTGCTCCGGTTTTTTGTTGTTTTTGTTTGTTTGTTTTTCTTTGGGTTTTTTTTTCATAGTAAGGACCTTCTCCTAAAACTTCAAAAAATTAAAAATTAAATAAATGGGAAGATTTCCTGCAACAAGCTCATCTACTATGCTTTCAGGAGAAGCACCTTTTATGTTTAGGAAACAGACATCAATTTTGAGTGCATTGTTGGAGAATAATGCACGGATAAACTGTGCATTGTTATACTAGAATGCAAGAAATATTAATACCTATTTCCATTCTAACATGGTTATAAAACATTGAATTGATAAAAGTATGTTGAACGATGTAAGATCAATTGCTGGCAGTAGACTAAGTGTTCACGGTTATCATCCATATACTGAGATGTTAATGAGTACGTCAAGTCACCTAACTTACCTACAGTAAGGTCATCAAGTTCTGGAAGCACTGGTATTGTCCAGCCTAAGGGGTTCAGCATAGCGGTCACCTGACCCATGGTAGCTAGGGGTTCAACTCTCACTACTTTCTTTTCAGTGTCCACTTCAATAATATCAATGAGGTTCACTTCAATCTTTTTCATTGTTTGTTTGTACAAGCCACGACGGAAACTTATGTTCATCCAACCAGGCCTTGCTGTGCACATTTTTGTTTTCATACCCTCTGCACGCCATTCTTTAATCTGAATGAATCAATTAACAATATGAAAATAAATGCAACTTAAATTTAGGTTCATAATTATCAAGTACATATAATTTCAATTAAATAATTATGACCCTTACAACCAAGTATTTCAATCAAATAAGTAATGATGAAATCTTTCACCTACCTTTTTTAAGAAAGACGATGAATTTTTCAAAATGTGCAAAACACATGGCATTCCTTAACAGATTATCATAATATATGTTTATTTTCTGCCAATATTGAGTGTTTCTTTGACTATTAATGGCATGTTGGGGTGAATCATGATTAACAATTTGGCAACTGAAGGCATATACGCATGTACATGTATGTATGCCACTGGGCAACAAGCAATAATAGGCTGGCTAGAACTGTGTTATCTAATTCTAATCAGTCAATTAGTTTTGCAATTTCTCATGGTTCCTTTTATACATGATGATGATTAGAGTTTATTTCAAATTTGCATTCAGGCCACCGGCCCATACACATGTATACATACAAAACGGATTTCCCTTGGAATACCAATATGTTTTCCTTTCTCTATCATCAATTGATGAGAAGAGGACCTAAAAGCAGGAAGACTACTCCTAAATTTCAATATATCTATACAGTCCAGATATTTTTCAAAATTAATATTACATTTAAAATTTCTATAAAATACTAACTTTCTGTTTTCTAAACACTCACTGTTCCAATTTTGCATATATCTCTCATCATCCATATATAAAATCCGTATCCAAAATTTAATACATCTTTTTGTTGCATATATAAACATTGGGTATCTTCCACAATCTCCCATTACAACTGCATTACACGACTTTAAAGAAATATTCATAAATCTCTTACATGCATATATTTGAACACGTTCTATACAATCCCTAACCTAAGTCCCCATATTTCTGGCCCATATAACAAAATAGGACATATTTTTGAGTCAAAAATTCTAAAATAAGATAGATATATGCTACTGAATCTAAATGCATTTGAAATGCATGATATTTTATATTACCTGCTGCTGGACGTATTTCACTTTACTATCGTGCTGTTTTGGTGCTGAATTCAATTTAAAAATCAACCAAGCCCGTAAATACATTAGCACATCATACACAACTGATAGTGGCAACAAAAACAAGCACACAAAGACCCAACGGTAGTGCATAATCACATACTCCAGACCCCTGTATTTGAACCACGCGGACCCTGTCAATAGTATTGTTGCTGCAACATACACAAAGTTCGCTGGCAGCTCCATTTTCCTTAAACCCCGCAGCCTTTGCAGCCTTTTCAGCCTAAACCCGTTACGTAACAGATTTTGTGATGTACTATTCTCCGGTCCGGTGGCTTCCGGTCTCTCCCGGTCTCTTTTGACCGGATTTTACGAGAGACCGGCGAATAGTATCATATTTACTGGCCCGGTCAGTAAGGTCTTCTAAACATTATTAGATCTTTCTAGATGAAAAATGTGTTGATATAAGATTTTTTTTCGTATATAATGTATTTCGTTTCAAATTAGTTGTTTTTTTTATTATGTATTTTTTGTTGTTTTTAATTATATATTTTCGTCAAAGATAAAGATGTAAAAGCGTATTAATAAAGGGGAAATCACATTAATTATCTTATTTGAGCATAAAATATTATAAATGAAAAAGCATATTAATAACAGGGGAGTCTGTTAATTGGTTAATTTTATAGCGGTTTTATTTTTCATTATTTAATAAATAAGTGCAGCATTAATATTATAACAATTAATATAGATCAAAGAAAAAAAATAACCCCGCCTATAAATAGCGTAAGTATATAGCAAATGATGACAATATCTACAAAGATAAAGTTTTCTAATAAAAGAATTAAACAATTAAATCGTCGTGAGTTTCCTTTCAATTTTATTTTATAATCCAAGACATTGGAAGAAAGAACTCATTTCCTTCTAGAATATCAATTTATTTTATTCAATTTAACCACGGATTTATATTACATATAAATCCGTGATTTAACTTAACACAACAAGTTTTAATCGATTTAAACAATTTCATTTAATAATCACAAATATAATCCAATTATTTGACTTAACAACCTTTTATTTACAAATCAGTCTCACTAATTGTAGGAGCAGTAGTCCAGTGGTAGAACGCGCGCTTAGGGATCGAGAGGTCCCGGGTTCGAACCCCACTAGGGGCACTGCTAATTTCCTTGAGCAAGAAATTTACCTGCGATTGCTTCACTTCACCCAGGTGTAAATGGGTACCTGCGAGGGTGGTATAAATCCGTTGCGCCAAAGTGTCGGCTGCACTAAGCGGAGTTAAAAGACTCCCCAGGGAGATTGATAGATAGATACCAGTAGCCCGATGACCAGGGGTAATAGCTGTAAAGTCGGTGAACGTGCGTAAGCATGAAACTTAGACTATAAAATGCAATTACTTACTAATTCTATTTCAACCATCTGTCACTTATAAAATGTCCCTATTTATATAGCAAAACTTTTTAATTCATACTTATAATTGTTAGGGTTTTTTTGTATATTCATCAACGTAATATCGTGATTATCAATGGCACCAGACATATACAATCATTTATAATCTATTTGTGTAACGCATGATCAACACCACACTTGTATATTGTCCCTTATTATGTAATCGCTATTAGTGAAGTCCCCATCATTAAATATCTTAAGATATCTGTTCACACTTGAAAAGAATATATGACACTGATTAAGTTACCATGTTGATCATGTTGAGCATAATTATTTTATTATACAGTAATTGTAATATCTCTTTTAATTTGTCTTTTTCTTCATCTTTCATGAAAAATGTTTTCTTTTTTGTGTTAAATGTGCTATTTTAATACTGTGTTTATAACTATTTTTTTTAATTAAAAATTCAATTGTCAGATTGACCGACGATTATGTAAATTATCTAAAAGTCAAGTAAATTATGATTAATCTTTCAATATATTATGTTCATTATTCTTAAACCATTTATTTATTTTTTTTATAAATATATCAATCAGTTACGTAATTCATAAGTCTACTTTGTAAGTTAGAATCCCTTCACTAAACGCGAATAGCATATTAAATAAAATGTTTCATTTATACCATAAAAATGTACCTTTTTATTAAATTATTGTAATTATTTATTGTTTTTATCATACATAAATAAAATAAAAATGCTATAAGTTTTAGAATTGAAAGTTTATGTATAGTAACACGGAATTATAATAATAAATATAAATCCGTGATAGTAATAATAATTGGGAGTTATGTACAGTAATAATAAAAATGATAAATAAATTTGACAGATGATCTGTGTTAATTAACTAAACTAAGTGACAACCATTCAATTTTGAAAAAAATAGACATTTGTTACGATATCGAATAAAATTTCTACTCCAAAACCGGGAGAGACTTGGCAATATTAAAACGTGTGATACTATTCGCCGGTCTCTAGTAAATTGCGGTCAAAATAGACCGGAAGAGACCGGGAATTATCGATAGGAGACCGGAGAATAGTACATCCCAGATTTTACCCTTCCTAAGGTCAAGGCCGTTTCTATTTTTACTTCCGGTTTTTCCACCTCTGGAGATAGATAAAATACATTACCATACCATATGATAAATGAAGTTAAAGACCAATCTTCGCAACTCTTTTGAAGTAGGAAAGCTACATTTCAACTTAAATAAGTCACGACTTTTACATGAAAGTGTGAAAAAACTTTAAATTTTACAAGTCTTAAATTTTATATGTTTATTGTATTTGTAATTTGCAATTGTATATAGTATATGTAAATATGGTAGCAAGACGTACACTTCACACTCCAGACACTTCACACTCTAGACACTTGACCCCTCAAATTTTGAAGACACTTCACCCCTCAAGACACTTAACCCCCCCAAAATCAGTAAGACATTTCACCCCTCATCCAATTTCTTTTTATGAAGTAAATAAGCTAACAACATATTTGCTTTTATATCATTCATATGCTTATTTTAATTATTTTTTTGAATTATTTGATTAATATTTTTTTTTAAATTAAAGGACATTAAACAAACATTTCTAAGAGTAAATATTTGTTTAGTAAATAATTCATCAACAAATAACACATGTAATAATTTCTATACTGTCGATTAAAGACACAAAGGAAGTGTGAAAGAGATTATATACATAATATATATCATAGGATAATTCACACAAAGGTTCACAAACTTCAATAGAAAGATAATTCTACAAAATTAGTTATATCACTTTCACTTTAACTGAAATTAGTATAAAATATACAGAAATAAAATAAAAAGTAAAAATATTACTTACTAATAACTTTGTAATATATATAAGCCTTTTTTAGGGGAAAAACAACAATATATATCCATTGTCTTTGGTCAATAACATGATAAAAAAATAATAAGATCTGTTAAATCAATAAACATACTCAATCACTATTGAATACATTTAACATAAATTTTCTACATAAATAGTTGTTTAGCACAAAATAAAAAAAATATGGGTGAAGTGTTTCAATCAAATTTCTTAAAATGAGGGATGAACTGTCTAAGGGATGAAGTGTCTGCAAATTAAGGGCCTAGCGTGAAGTGTCTGGGAGGTGAAGTGTCTGTAAATCGTACATATATACTCGATAATTATACAGTACATGTAAAAATTCTGGCGAAGTAATGATCCCTCGGAAGTAATAAAAGCAACAATATCCTGCATGAAAATTGCAAATTAGGTTGCAGGCCATGCAGTAGTGAAGTTAAGACTGCTCATGGAATTATTGAAATGCAAAGAAATGTTTTTTAAATTTTCTTTTTACAATTTTCTTACCTTAACCAGATCTCGAGACAAAGATAAGGCATAGATGTTATCTACATCTATGCCTCAACAAAAGTCCTTAGAACAATATACATGTAATTATAATATAGATAACCTAGAACCTTTTGAGTTGTGAAATGCATTACTAGTATATCATAAACTGCAATAAAATGTGATAGTACACCATTAGACATTGGATTTGTGTTTCAAATTTCAATCATTTGCTCAATATAATACGAACGAACGAACGAACGAATGAATGATAATTGCCTTTTTATCATATATAATTGTACAGAGATTTTAATTTTGGCATAAGGCCCATGAGAAGATCCAATTGAAATGCACAAGCAAAATGTTTATCTTTTACCAGGCAATAGACCTTTTTACAATACGATTTTCCATAGCAACGAATGTTGCATTTCGCGCATGCACTTTCTGCGTAGGGCAAAACGCAATAACTATGTCTACAGTTTATCATACTTAAAGGCTTTAAAAGATGCGATTTCATGTTATTTCACCTAAAAAAATATTAACTTTGGGATGACTTAAGGCGGTAAGTACTGAAAACGTGAATTTATTTTTTAACAGATCTACGAAAATGTGCGGGATTAATGATTCAATGGTCAAAAAAGGCACACACATGTCGTTTAATTGTTTATGGTATCATTAGACGACTTTTCCATCAGTAATTTCAATTGAAACAGCAGGGTGTTGAAGATAAAATTTTATTACCCCTGTATTACATAATATTACACAATTTGTATTGTACACTTCCTTTGAATAACTGGATTGGTCAGGCGGCAAGTGTCAAACAGATTGGCACGCGAACGGTTGTTCATTCAACCGGGACGTTTAAATACCATGATATACATGTGTAGTTAATCAGTTACGCTTATTAAAACGGTAATTTATGTAACTTTTAAATATACCGATCAATGTTTATGGATTTTGAGAAGAGAAAAATTGTGACATGCATTATTATAAATAACATGTATTACGAAGAAGCGGATAAAATGTGTGTTATAACATTTGAAAAAAAAATTAGTTATTTAAAATCTATTTATTTGACTTAAATTTTTCTGTTTGCATCACAAGCAAGTCGGATAAAGGATATAATCAGGTATATTGAACACTAAAATGCATTATCACCTGTTCTGATATTTTTTCAGAATGATAATTAATCTCGATTTCATGTTATAAAATTTCTTTTGTTTTTATATGAACTATTTCAACAGCAGACTTTCCATTTGCTTATATTTCCACATCTTTAAAAAATGTTTAAATTATTTTACCAGCTTAAATTAAAATGGCATATCAACTGTTTCATAACAAAATTATCATTATTTTTATTTTGCATGACCCATTTTATGAAGAAGTTCAAGGAAACTTTCATTTATCAATTTAATTAGATATACGATTATTATTTGTTTGCTATATATATAAGATCTCCACTGAGTAGAGGCAATATATGTACATCGATGACAAATATACAAGCAGATATCATGGACAAAAATGTTATAAAAAAGAGATATACATTTTGCAAATTTATAGTTGTAAATGGCTCTGATATGACTTTCCCATCAACCATTAAATGGAAATATACAGCTAGTTTTTCTATATACTGTACAAGTTAACATTATAGTAATAGAAGATAATTTGATTTTGTAACTTTATTTCATTTTGATTTAAAAATCACTTAAATCAAGGTTGCAATTAGCTGATTGCAGACAATATCAAACTTGACTTGCGTGCCAAATATTCAGTGAAATGCTTATAAAATTATTCTGTGAAAACCAATAATTTCACAGAAAATTTTCTGAAAATAAAAAGGCATAACTCTACCAATAAATGAGTTTATTGCATTGAAAGTATAATGTTTGTAACTTGTGAATTGATATCAAATTTGCAAATATAAACAGAGTCATTAAAATCCTTCAAAAGTAGTTCTGCTGAAACCAATAATCTCACATTAAAATGCATAATAAAGGGTATTAAAAATGTGTTGATTTCAGCGAATATGAAACTTGACCTGTGTTTTTATATAATATATTTACGTGCCAACTACATGTATAAACATAATCAACAAACCATTCAAAAGTTATTCTGCAGAAACCAATTATTTGCCTTTTTCATATTACACTTTAAAAATTGCTTAAAAGGGGCCATAACTCTATTAATTATAAGTTGATTGCAAGGAAAATTAAATTTGCTTTTGATATAGCATACTTAATATGTCAAGTATATACTATATACACACTCACTGAAATCCTTCAAAGTTATTATATGCGGAAAACCCATAAATCCACTTAAAATTAATAACTGTATTTATTTATAATGAGTTAATTACAGCCAAATTTGAACTTGACTTAAGTTTTGATATAACATATACTTACTTGATCAATATAAACACGATCACTGAAATCCTTCAAACATTATGCTGTGGAAACCAATTGTCTACGAACGGACGGATAGATTGACAGCCGGACAACGCCATTCAATAATTAATACGTTCCGAAGGTCTTAGGCAGTATAGAAAAACAACAACATTGTGATATGAACCTTTTTAAGGAATTAAACCAAAATGAATTAAACCACACCGTTTAACTGAATTAAAATCTGTGGTAATATAATCAGACTATATAAAAAATATAAGTCTACGTAACCATCATTGATAACATTTAATATTTTCACTGTGGTTCCAATTATTTGTGTAAAATGTGAGGTAATGTGTGTCTCATTAAAAAGTAGTGCAGAGTCTAACGGATGAATTTAATTAAGTTATTGCCCTCCATAAAAAGCGCCAATTTTATAACTGGCTCAGCAACATTTCCATTTGAACAATTTACAAATGATAAGTGTGTTTAACCCGTAAATATATTTTTTCTTCAGATATGCAATAACAGAAAGACATTTTTTCCTTTCCAAGATAAACAGTACAGTATAATAATTATAATATTTAATCTGGTCCGAAATGTCCAAAACAATGGTCCAAAGTTGTCTAACACGTGATCCCAAATGTCCAACACATGGTCCGAAATGTTCAACACATGGTCCGAAATGTCCAAAAATCTGGTCCGAAATGATCTGAAATATGGTCCAAAGTGTCCTAAAATCTGGTCCGAATTGTCTGGTCCGAAATGTTTATGGTCCGAAGAGTCCTTTTACCAGTACAGTACGGTACGGTACGTATTTTTGTTAAACTTCGGCATTATTCGTACATTTTCGTGTCCTTTCGCGCCATTATTAATTTCCGCGGGAGATATTTTTTTGTTGAGAAAAATGTGGATCCAAGTAAGAACCTTCGATGGATCAAAATCATTGCAAGTTGACAATTTGTCAAAGCTGACGAAGATCGAAGATTTACGAGATCGTCTAGTAGAACATTTTGACGCACCCGTTGACAGTCAACGACTGTTTTATAGGGGAAAACAGGTGAAATGAACAAATTAAGATCAATGCCCCATTTTCAATGATTTTGTCTTTCAGTTATTTTATAGATTTAGATGTGATTTTACATCTTTACTTAAAATAAAGGTACGACTTGCTAACTTATTGTGTTAGTGGGATGCATCAATGGGCCACGTCCTGGAAAGGACCCTGGTCTGGGGTATACAAAAGGTTCATTCCATTTTCTTTAGTGTACTGTATTATATACAAGTTTTAATTCTGAGTAACGTGGGGAAAATACACAAGATTGCCACTTTCATATACTGTGTGACACAGCTGTAAATTTTCTAGTTCTGGCTTCCAAAACTTTTTAAGCCACTATTTAACATTTTTGTTTTTCATCTGATGCCGCTGCGGCATTAAAGTTTTGGATTAGACCCGTTACGAAACCTAACCAGAATAACATAAGTTGATTTATTCTTATTTTTCACTTGCAAATACACTTGACCCAATCAATTCTTGTGCATTTTACGATAAAACAATTATTTTTAATACCGTTCTATACCAATAAAAAAGTATCAAAATATTAATACCATCATTAAAATTGCCTATTTAACTGTAAAACATCAATTACGCCGACTACAGTCGGCCATGACATTTAGGTGCCACGCGAGACCTCGTATGACGTCATTCGCGGGAACCGATTAGAATAGAGTCGTGTACTATATTTAGAACATCTTTGTTGACATGATTTCGATATTTTTATTCAAGATAATGTTTTTATTTATTTTCATTAATTTTTTAGTACTTAAATATGATTTTATTGAATACAAAAGTCAGTAAATCACCTTTTTCAATATTTTTAAAAAAAGTAATTTATAAAAATATTGGAAGCACATGGGTTCCTAAAGGTCAATCTCGTAATCACTTGGTCAAACATTTCGGCAATATGGCGGCCAAGTGCCGAAATTTTTACCTGTCGGAAACTATTAGGTAGTTTATGTTCGTAATAAGATTTTTATTTGTCCATCCTTGGCTTATCAACAGATTATATATAGTTTTATCAAGGTATGCTTCACTTTACAGGGGTGTGGAAATTTGATTTTTTTCCACTTGCCCACGGACAAGTTGGACTGAAATTTCTACTTGTCCGCAGCTGAAGTTGACTTGCCCAAATAAACAGTGAAAAACAGGTTTATTTCAATGGCTTTATTAGACAAACATTTTTTCTAAACATTTTCATAACTACTACCATGTTTGTACAGTTATAAATGAACAATTATACAAGAGTTGAAAGCAAACATTATTTAAACAGAACTGTTTTATTGTGTATGTGAACATATTGTCAATAGAATCATGGTAAACATGCTATAGACTAGAACATTCTGTTAAACACATCCTGGGTTACATTAAGGCACAGGCGTTAGTTGGGTTATCAGTCAAATTTTTCAGTTTTTCCCTTGCAATGTCTTCCCCACCTAGGGTTTTCACAATTTCACTTAACATGGGCTGTATGCTATCCATCTCAATAGTTGCCTGGGTAGATGTGGAGGCTATGCTTTCAGAGGTCAAAGTGGCTGATTTTTGTGGTGGCTTATGACGTATGTGTCTATGACCAGACTTAAGCCATTCTTCAACAGAAGGTAAAGGGTCAAACATGGAGAAATCTGGACCAGAGACAACAATTCTCATTTGACTCTGCAGGTTTTCTTGGGTAAGGCGAGTTCTAAGAGGGCTCTTGATAAGATTCATTTGAGAAAAAAGCCTCTCACAGGCAGCAGTGGAGGGAGAAATTGTGAGCAAAATCTGCAGCAAAGCACTGATGTGTTTAACAGAATCTTCCTTTCTTTGCAGTATGGATGTATATACTGCAAGGGGGTGATAAGTTCTTTGCAAGGATACCTGAACTTTAAGAGTCTGCCATTCACTTGGAATAGAGGAGACCTCTTCCTCTGTTAACAAATCATTACAGTGCTCACACAGCAGTTTAATTTCCTTACAACCATATGTGCTAAGCTCAGTAAGTGAACTTGGCCAGTTTCTGAAGTCAAATACCCTGTACAGACTCAATGGAGGGTTGTCAAGATCCTTAAATCTTTCTAGAACATATTGACTGATTTTATCAAATAAACAGTGAATGTCATTGTCATCTTTGAAGTCACTAAGAGACCCATTCAGTTTAAATTTACCATCAAACAGGGATGTTTCAGGATCATACAAGCTGTAGAATTTGGACAAGTGTTCACCTGGTTCATTGGTCATTGCATGCAAACACATGTACAATGTATCTACAGCTTCCTTCACCTCAAACATCAACAAATCTTTATTTTGAAACAAGACTGAAGTTTTGGTTATGGCTGTAAGCACATCTAGCATGACATAAATGTATTTAACAAATTTTACACTTTTAAGATCAGTTAAAATTGCTTTAGCTTGTCCTAGCTCATCTGCCCTGTTAGATGTTTCAAGAATTTGCTCCATGTGTGTGACTGTAACATTAATATCCTGACAGACTGCTTCTAATGCACGCAGCTTGGAAGAAACCCACCTAATTGCCTTAATTTCAGTGTGCATCTTTAAGCTTTCATCAAGAAAAGAAGCAAGCTTTTTCAATTCTTCTCTCCTCTTGGGAGAAAAAGAATAAAATTTACAGATTCTCTTAAGAGTTTCCTCAAATTTTTTCAAATACCCCACTTGCTTAACTGCATCTAAGACACCTAGTTCAAGTTTATGTGCCACACAGTGTGTAACAATAACATTGTTATCAACTGCATCACTCAGCTTTTTCGCAACACCATTCTTTGCACCTAAATTAACTGCAGCTCCATCAAGATTTACACACACCAATTTTGAATTTTCATTAGACAGATTATCAATATCAATGTTGCACTTCAATAAACCCCTTTTAATAGCATCAACAACACCGTCAGCCCTTGCATTTTCTAGATTCTCAATACTGGCAATGGATGTAACCGGCTCATATGTTTCAGGGTGTACATAGCGTAACAAAATGCCTTCCTGATCTATTACAGAAGAGTCAGTGCTTGAGTCACTCATGATAGAAAAGTACCTAACATTTTTTAAGTTTGCTTTTGTTTCATTTAATAGTAGGGTTTCTTAATCGGACAAAAATCATAATCGATCATCGAAAATAATCGAACAACCCTTTTCGATCAATCATCGATTATATAATCGAAATATTTACAATAACAAAGTTAATATGTACAATGTACATATCATGCTTTGCTATTCATTAGAATTCCATTTATATTCTATATTTTGTGTTATTACAACTTTATCAGCTGAAATAAACTAGCTTACAGATATACTATGCTCATCCTTGAGTAAAATATTTTAATCAAATAAATTCATTAAAATCTATAAAATTATTCTGTCTCAATTTCAATAAAGGAATGAATAAACTATGTATGGGAACAAGTTCAAAACTGTCAGGTTTTTTTAATGACACTATATATTGATATTGTAACTACCTTTAGTGTGTAAAATAATTTTATTCATAACATATCTTCTGTGTGAAGTCAAAACATGTTTAACTTATATTTACAAATAGACTGTGTAGCAATTCTAAATATTTTCTAATGTCAAATTTGAGCAGAGTATATCCCTCACTGTCAACTATTTACTCCATGGTCCCCAGTATGCTTTCATATTCAATTGAATGCAAATTATTGTTTCAACAAAAGCTGCAATTAATTTAGAGTGTTGTTATAATACAGTGAGTCACTTAATTTACAGCAAAAAAATAAACTACCGATGATCGATTATTTAACCTTGTAATCGATCATCGCCGATCGGTCCTTTAAACGATCAATTTTCGATTATACTCGATCATCGTTTAATCCCTATTTAATAGTACATTTGAAATGGAATTCTGGAATACTACACAGGTATCTCTAGATAAGTGGTCATTTCCTAATTCAGCCCCATTTTTCTTTTGCACTTCACAGAGAAAAGGATAGTCACTGTAAGGGCGATTGTGCTTTATAACAGCATAAGCAGTATTAAACAGCTTTTTGTATCTCTCTATTTCATGCATTTCAACTTTAGATATAGACTTTTGTATGCAGGGTTGTCATTAACATTTTTTGCAGAAGGTTTGTTTTGAACTTGAGGCGGTCATTTCTGTCTTTATCATGCAAAACAGAGTGTTTTCTTAATTTTGAGGCGGCCCATATTGCATTTGAGACAGGCATTTTGGCCTCCTGCCGCCTCTTAATGACAACCCTGTGTATGGGTCCTTGTTTACTTGGTTTTTGCTTGAACTCGGACTTGGACACACATGAAATATGTTTAGATGATATTTGATGAGATGAAAGAGTGTCCTTTCTTATTAATGTGGCGGCAGACTTCCCTACGTACAGGGCCGAGGTCGTATCCGCCGTTTGCGGGAACATTCTACAAATATGACAAAAAAGTTTGTCCGAATGATCTTCCTTTCTTAGCCAAGAAAAATCGTTAAACCAGCTATCTTTAAACACACGCATGCGTTTATGGTCATATTCCTTGTCTCTTTGGGCTTTAGATTTACGCTTTTCTGGTTCTTTGGGTGTTTCAGGCAGCTTTGCACCACCAGAACGAACGACAAATTTGTCCATTTCGTACCAAAATAACTTTACAACGCGACCTTCACAATGGGCATTATTTACTAAAGCACCGGTTGGTTGCCTCGATACGACCTATTCCAAGAATAGCGAGAGGCCTCATACGGGGGAAAATAGCATTTATTTACATCGATTTATTCATGCTGCGGGAGGTAGTTTATAATTTAATTTTACGCATATTAAATACTGATTAAACATTATTGGGATAAAAATTAACGTTCGTTATCAATTTTATGTAAGAATTTTGGCATTTTGCTTTAATTTTCTTGCTCAGAAATTCACTTGCCCGCGGACAACCGCTACGTGAAAATCTACTTGTCCGCCGGCAAAAAGTCCCGAGTCGGGCATAGTAATTCCGCACCCCTGCTTTACTTCATTGCATGTTCGATGAATGAATATGAGCGTGTCAGATTCCTGGCACGA